AAAAAAAAAAAAAAAAAAAAAAAAAAAAAAAAAAAAAAAAAAAAAAAAAAAAAAAAAAAAAAAAAAAAAAAAAAAAAAAAAAAACACTATGAACTGTTATTCCGCTCGGTAAGCGATAGAGAGAACGATATTGCTTTGTGTTAAATACAACCAATAATGTTAACTTAATGTGGAAAATCGGCATGCTACTTTCAAAGTTTTGACGCATGCGACAATTGATTGCCTTAACATTCCTTGATTAACTTTTGCCTTTTATGTGGGACACAAATGCATGCATACAAATATTTGTACAAGGAACCATTGATATACATATGTATATGTATGTATGTATGCATTTATGTATATATTGTTATTCGTTTGGAAACTCCGAAATGTATAAAGTTATATCGAAAATTATGGCACATTAACATTTTACAATATTCATTTACACATATGTATTGTAAATGTATGTTCTATTAAAATTAAATCCACTGCATACATACATATGTACATATACATTGTATATTTTGTTATTTAAAATATTTAAATTATTTAAATTATTTTATTACCCAAATTTGAAATGTTTCACCTAAAAATTAACAATTACCTCAATATGTACAACCAATGAAAGCTAAAAGTAGTATTTTCCCTAAGTAGAGTATTAACTTCATATTTAATTTAATTTAATAAAAATAATAATTTATTTATGATAATGCAAATTTATTGTTGTATTTATGTACATATATACGTACAGATGGATATGCGCTACATAGGTATGCACATATGTATGTATACCCAAATTATTGTTTTCGGCTTCGAAATGACAATCTAAATTCGTTTGAACACATTCTCAAGTACTCACTGTACAATTTGTATCTGTTGGTTTCAGTAAATTCCAGAAATGAAGTGACTTTGAAAATAGTATATATATATATATAGATTGTATACGTAATTATAATCCGCAGAACACTTGCGTGAGACAGAGATGGCAACGTTGTTGAGTGGTCGGACAATGTAACTACTGTTCGTGTTGGGGTTAGAGCAAGCATTTGTGGTGGTGAATGTGAGTAGCTAGTATTAGTGATGTTTCTGTTGCTTATACACAGCTGCTGATTGTGAATGTCAGAAGAATGTGATATATGAATTTAGTTATTTTTCGCTTTCTGTTAAAGTAACGACGATTTGTAAAGCGCGACGTACATTTCAGTACATTCCAGTATATTTTCATTAACTGTCGTGCATTTCCCTCCAACAATTAAATATTAAATTTAATGGATTTTACTGAAAACCAAGTGCTGGTGCATAGGTATCCGAATTTGTGCACAACTTATTTGCCTGTATTCGTACATATGTATGTATGTTCGTGTGCTCTCATCCATACATTTAACATGCGATACATACATACATACAAAAAAAACGTATTCCATAAAACCTGATTTGTGTCTGTGGTCCCAAGAAAAAATAAACAAAAAAAAAAAACCGAAAAATATATGCACTTTAAAATGATTTCGCTGAAAGGATTAAATTCGTTAAAACATTTAATATTTGTATATAACTTTAATGGGGTATGTGTTTCTTTAACACATGTATGAATGTGTATATGAACAAAAATACACGTATGCATGTCCATACTTAGATACTTGTGCTTTTTCAGTTTAATTTTGTTGTAGTTCGCAGTCACTGGATCGAACAAAAGCCCAACATTCGATTAATCGTGAAACTGTTTCTTTGTGATTTGACGCATGTATTTGTAGGAATAAAACACCTTACGATAATACAAAGTACAAGTTTCCACATAAAGCGAAACAATTTTGTTTCAAGACTTTGATATATCACTCCACACCTTAGCTAAAATCGCCCCCAATCTCAGTTGGTTCGGAAAAATTCGCGTGGTATCGGCTGACGCAGTTAATAAGCAAACGAGGTGTGGTGCAACAGTAACAACAAAAATGTACATATGTAAATATATAGAAAACTTACGGAGTAGCAAATAAGCCCTACAACAAACAGAATTTTGCGAGTTTTTAGTTGATATTTCGAACAGTGTACTTCAAAAAGAACAAAAAGAGAATTCCAATTTTTCGTTTATCATACTTTTACATTTATCATATTTGTATTCAATGTGAAAAATAGAAAACATAAAAATATAAGGAAATATATGTACATATGTATATACGAATGTAGGTATGCCTGTACATAGTGTGTATTAAACAAAATTATCAGTGTACGCGAATTTATCGTTATTCTCACGCGATTTCGCTAATAACCGAGTTTTGACAGTGGCGACAGTGGAACATGTGACAATTATCAACTGTCAGGAGGTGTTATAAAATTAAATACAGACTTTCTTTTGCTCAAAGAAATTATTTCTATTTAGGATTCACTTGCCATAGAACGAAACGTTTTCAATAAAAAAACATGAAGGTTAAAATTGACACTGCAAAAGCGAAAATTCCCACCATTTGTACCTCGTCAAATGCCAAAGAGGAAGTTAGTTTAGATTCTCATGAAAATGCTTTAGTTTTAAAATTGGAACGAAAACGTAGCAAAAAACTAACTCGAACTCGTCACTTCCATGTAGTAGCGGACGATGATGAAGACGATGAGTTTAAGGAAGAACAAACCGAAATGGAAAATGTTCGGGAAGTGTATTTTGATGAAAATGATTCGGGTCAAAATTCGTTTGATATTTTGCCAGCTTTATCAGCGTTGACATCTACGACACCAACAACAACAACAGCCACCCGAAATAATCTTATCGTAAGTCTATAACACCAACAATTCATACCATTATCTGCAGTAACTAACAATTACTACAAATATTAAATATTTATGTACGTATATTCCTTATTGGCATATTTTTCGCAAATGGAATTAAGTACCCTGCCAAATATAAAGACTATAAAATATGATCGACCACTTCTGAATAAAATCTAAAACCGAATCGCTTATAAAGATGTACATATGTATGTATGTATGTATGTATTAAGGACCATACTAAAAGATGTTATCTCTAAGTCGGCTATTACACGAAGCAACTTTTGTTGCTGATTCTCGGGCGATTCTCTTTTGCTGTTGCCCATTACCTTCCCACGAGCAACTTGTGTTGCGCAACTCTGTTCGAGTTTTTTTCTAATTCTCTTTCACTTTACTTTAACCCATTGTCGTTTCTTTTTTCTTATTGGTGTTTGGGCCACTCTATCACATATATTAATTAGTTCTGTTTTATTTGTAATTCAAAATTAAAACAAAGGTTATAACAGATCTTCACTATCGTCTGAATCAATTTGTATGGCTTAATCCATACATTTCACAATATTCTTAATTAAATCGATTTTTTCGTCATACTCCATTTTCTAAAGTATTTATATTATATTATGTATATTTGTATACATATTTGCAAATTACGTACCAAAAGATGAAATTAAATTTTTTAAATATATTCAAAATATTAATTTCAAAATAATATACGCAAATGCAACTATGTACTACGAAAGAAAGAACACGAATGTAGAAAAACGTCGCAGCGAATTGTTAAGAATAAGAACACAAAGCGAGTTGCTGAACACTGGAAACTCGGCGCGATTCTCCTCAACGCGTCGCCCCCTCGCCTATAAACCAAGGGTTGCCGCAAAAAAAGTTGCTTCGTGTAATAACGAACTAACAGTTTAGCAGCGAATATTACATTAAATATTTATTTACTCTTAAAAGATTTTTGGAACAGCATTTTTCCATATACATACATATGTATGTACATATTATATTGGTCAGTTCATAGACTCTGCATGAACATTAACTTCGTACTGAACTAAGCATTTACTTGTATAATAGCTAAAGAGCTAACGGAGCTACTCCATTCTATATTCTCGAAGAGCTTTCAACTATATTAACGGCGCAATTTTAAATGACTACATATGTATGTATCGCAGTGTTAATCCAATTTAAAAATAAATACCTAAATACATATGTATGCATGTATGTACATACGTACAAACCTATACCATACATACATACATATGCGGAGTGTACATATGCATACGTACTAATTTATCCAAATGTGATTTAAAATCAATTTTAAAACTTGTTTCCGAACGTTGGATATGCACGTATAATACTTAGTTATTTTGTTCTTTGTTTACTATACCATTTTTCTCACAGGTACAGTGAAGGGTTTAGGAGTATGTTTATTAATACGATTGTATATTTTTCTCAAAAGCAAAATCAGCTTTATTCTAAAACTTTAAATTTTTTTCGAACCTCAGTTTGTTGCTAAAAATTGTCAGACGAAATACACATACCTTGTATCAAAATAATATCAATAGTGCACTCTTCCTTAATTGATTTCTAATTGTTTTAGTGCCTTTTATACAAATGTATTGAAATTAAATCTCAAAAGTGATTAGAATTGGATTATCATATTCTCAACCTAGTGTTAGAAATTCACCAAAATATAACTTCTTCTATATGTACGTTTTCAGGTTGAAGTACATAGTTGAAATGTTAAACTTTGCTTAATATAACAATCTAAAAATAAATAAATCGCCATATATGAAATCCTTTCAATTAAATTTCAATATTATAATATTACACCTGTTATGAATTCTCCTACTACCAATTAATACCTTTTGTATAATATTGCTTGTAGGTATGTGTAAACACACTCATACATGCGTTGTTCAGCAAACGTCTAAACTGTCATTAGTCGTTCAAAAAGTGGAAAGAGGTAGAATAAATTAAACGAACAACGCTAAAGTATTTAACTATTTTCATTTGTATTGTGACGGTTACATTCTTACCAGCTATTACAATATTCTCTTGCTGAGACTTTTTTGTTTTGCGTATTGTGAAATATAAATTAATTTTATTAGTATTTACACATACATATATACCTTATCTA